CTTTTTCCACAACTATAGCTGTGATATCTTCAAGTTATCTACAGAAGATGAATTTTCTATAATTTGCTTGTCTGTACTACTTTTCATCTCATAAGACAAATCGCATTGGATCTTATGCTTCCTTAAGTGAAAAGAAATTAATGTTTTAATTTGCCAAAGGAGAGTGGGGTTGGAACAAAGAGAACATGGAACTTTATTTTTCAGATGAAATGGGTGAGGGGGAAAAAACCAATTGATAGGGCGCTCATGTGCATTTTTACTAGGATATAAATTCTACTTTACTTGTGCTTATTCTTAAACTGTGTGCATAGGATTGCTGCTGTAGAAGACTGTCGTTCACATTTAATCCCCATCATTTGCCATTAAAAAGTCCTTAAGTAGTAAAATTTGGAAGTATATCTCCTTGCCTGAGACCTTAGAGCAGGCATGGGCAAACTTTCTAACTTGGGGGCCACATGGCGGGCCAGAGTGGGGTGGGCAGACCGGGAGGCAGATAGGGTCTCCCCAAGTCCCCTCCCTGCCCTTACCTCCCTTCCTCTTCTCTTTCGGAGGCAGAAAGCGAAGGAAAGACAGGAAACATTTGGATCCCAAAAGGGGTGGTCCTGGTCAGGATGAGATAGTGGACAGGAGAGAAAAGGTGTATCCAAGAGACCCCGTATTGCTTATTCCTGGTATAGAATCCTAGAACTGGAAGAGACCCCCAAGAGCCATACAGTTCAACCTCCTGCCATGCAAGAAGACACAATCAAAGCACTCCCAATAGACAGCCTCTGCAGAAAAGCCTCCAGAGGAGACATCACCACACTCTGAGGCAGCATCCACCCTTCTCCAACAGCTCTTACTCTCAGGAAGTTCTCCCTAATTTTTTCAGTGGACTCTCTCTCCCTGCCATTTGAAACCATCGTTCCTTTGTGCCCTGGTCTCTAGAGCAACAGAAAGTCAATTTACTCCTTCCTCCTCCTGAATGAAACACCTTTAAATCTTGAAACATGGTTCGCATGTTCCCTTTCTACCTTCTCTTCTCCCATCTAAACATCTCCCAGGAAAGGTAGGAGGAAGGAAAAAGAGGAGGAAGGAAGAAAGGAAGGAAGAAAAGGAAGGAAGGGTGGAAGGAAATGGAGGGAGGGAGAGAGGGCGGAAGGAAAGACAAAAAGAAAGGAAGGAGAAAGAGAGGGAGGGAAGGAGGAAAGAGGGAAGGAAAGATGAAAGGTTGGAAAGGAAGGAAGGAGGAAGGGAGATAAGAGAGGGAGGGTAGGAAGGAAGGAGGAAGAAAAGAGAGAAGGAAGGAAGGATAGGATGGTGAGAGAGGAGGGCCTGAGAAAAGAGGCCAAGGGGGCCCATTTGGGCCCTGGGCCTGGGTTTACGCATACCTGCCTTAGAGTCACTGGCTGGATTTACACTGACATATAACACAGATTATTAAAGTGGATAATCCAGGTAGTCTGTTTTAAACTGCATTGTATGAGTCTACACTGTGGTATAATCCATTTCAAAGCAGATAATCTGGACTTTCTATGGCAGTGTCGATGGGGCCACTGTGAGATTAGGCATTCCTGGGCTAGAAGAAGCGCTGGCCCAATTCATTGCCATATTACATGCCATGCTCTACTAAATGTCTCCCAGAATAATCACATAGTTTTAAACTAAAACAGAGTTAGTTGTCAGAATCTCAGTTTAGAATAGAATCACATTATAGATGGAGAAAAATTAAGAGGCCCCCAAAGAAAAGACTGGTTTAAATTACATAGTGAGGTCCAGTCCTATTATCCAGGTGTAAATGACAAGTTGAAATGCTCATCTTACTCTGATGTGTATTTTGATTCCAAACTTTTATAACTAAAATTAAATTTTAATGTGAAGGTTCAAAGCCAGGTTGTTTTAAGAATGCAGTGCGAAAAATCCACAGCATATGGCTTATCTTTCCCCACTCATGTATAATTCAGTACATTCTGAATGTTACGTTTAATTTGATAGTTATCTGGTGGTTTCTGTAATGTTCTGAGTCTAAAACCACAGATCAGCTTTATAGAAGAAAAAGACATCTTAGATCCCAGGACTTTGAAAAAAAAGTAAAACATTTAACGTTTGAATGCAGACTTTATATGGAGCTAAGGGAATAAACACGGCTGGTGGGAACGAGAGAGGTGGCCTTTTCCGTGGTCATCCCTTCCTTCTGGAACTTCCCCCCACCAAAAGAAATTAGAACAGTCCCTTCACTCCTCTCCTTTAAGAGACAACTAAAAACCTACTTTTGCCCCCTAGCAGAGAGGAAGATGAGTAGTTTACCTTTTGATTTTACCTCATCTGACGATATCGACAATGGCCACCCCTAATTTATTGAGGAGTTATATTTTTATACAAATTTTAACTGTTCAGTGCATTAGTTGTGATACCTTATTGATGTATTTGTTTTAGCCGAGATGTTTAGTTGTTTATTTTCACTATCTGTTTTAATGGTTTATTGTGTTATTGTGTTTAATTTGAGTATTTTTAACTGTTTGTTTTATTTTGTTATTCACATGGCATTGAATGTTTGCCTTTTTTGCCTTTGGGAGTCACCCCAAGTCCCCTCAGGGAGAGAGCGGGTTAAAAATAAAGATGATGATGATGATGATTATTATTATTATTATTGTTGTAATGATAAACCTTAGTTACTATATGCTATCACATTTTTTCAAGGAGTAAACTGTTATATAAAACAAATATTTATTTGATCTTAATTGTTCATAACTGAACTAGAAACCTATATTTAAGCATGCTTACTTGGAACAGAAGAACAAACCCTAAACTTACTTCCCCAAGTAAGTTTAGGCCTATGTTTCTCAACCTTCCTAATGCCGCGACCCTTTAATACAGTTCCTCAGCTTGTGGTGTCCCCCAACCAAAAAACTATTTTTGTTGCTACTTCATAACTGTAATTTTGCTACTGTTATGATTCACAATGTAAATATCTGATATGCAGGATGTATTTTCATTCACTGGATCAAATTTGGCACAAATACCCGATACGCCCAAATTTGAATACTGGTGGGATTGTGGGGGGATTGATTTTGTCATTTGGGAGTTGTAGTTCCTGGGATTTATATTCAACCTACAATCAAAGAGCATTCTGAACTCCACCAATGATGGAATTGAACCAAACTTGGCACACAAAACTCCCATGACCAACAGAAAACACTGGAAGGGTTTGGTGGGCATTAACCTTGAGTTTTGGAGTTGTAGTTCACCTACATCCAGAGAGCACTGTGGACTGAAACAATGATGGATCTGGACCAAACTTGGCACAAATACTCAATATGCCCAAATGTGAACACTGGTGGAGTTGGGGGGAAATAGATTTGTATTTGGGATTTGAAGTTGCAGGGATTTACAATCAAAGAGTATTCTGAACCCCACCAACAATAGAATTGGGCCAAACTTCCCACACAGAACACCCATGCCTTGAAGGGACTCACTGGTGCGAGCCTCCCTCCAACCTCATACGCTCTCCCTCACCCATACATGTGCACCATGCTGTCATGCGCCAAGCATGCCTGCTCTTCCCCTCCCCACTTGGAATCTCAGAAATAGCCCTCCCCTTGGCTGAGAGGCTGGCAAATCACAGGGGAGGAGGGCTTTTGGTGGGAGGATTTGCCATCTGTTTCTAAAAAGGAAGAGAAGGACAAGCCGAATAATTTTCAGCCCTTTCTGCCAAAAGGGTTCCTAAGACCATCAGAAATATATGTATCTGATGTTCTTCGACGACCCCTCTGAAATTCCCTTGCGACCTCCCCAGGGGTCCCGACCCCCAGGTTGAGAAACACTGCAATAGGCCATCTTATTTTTTATAGAGAGATGGGACTGGGAGGGGGTGTTATAAAATATTTTGGTGACCAAAATGCTTCTATTACAGTTTTTTGAGGTTAAGCACTTCTCCGAGCTGGATAAAGTGATCTCAAAAGATTAGAGATAGGTTGTTGTAGGTTTTTCCGGGCTATATGGCCATGTTCTGGAGGCAATTTTTTCTCCTGACGTTTCGCCTGCATCTATGGCAAGCATCCTCAGAGGTAATGAGGTCTCTCATTACCTCTGAGGATGCTTGCCATAGATGCAGGCGAAACGTCAGGAGAAAAATTGCCTCCAGAACATGGCCATATAGCCCGGAAAAACCTACAACAACCCATGGATTCCGGCCATGAAAACCTTCGACAATAGATTAGAGATAGGTTTGAAATTTGGTACAACATGCTTTTGTGAGAGGCTTCACTAGACTTTGGCAGAGACCGATAGACATTTTCTAAAAAATAAATAATTAGATAGATTATATTACATTAGATTAGATTTTGATTCTATTTTTAAATTTGTTCTTTCCTTAAGAGACATATAATTGAAATGACATATATTTGATCACTTATTGGACAGTGTTTCAAACACTGACCATTAAAACTGTATATATTTTTTACCATTTGATGAGGGACACTGGAAACCCAGCAGTTTATCTTGTGCATTATTTGAAACATTTAAATTGCAAATTGCAGGATTTTTTTCCTTGCTCTTGCTTCATCGATTGCTTGGCAGCAGTGGTTCTGATACCTTGGCCTCTAGGATAATCTGTTTCCCTTAATTAGGCCAGTGGAGAATAATTAATTTTCAATTTTGTTATTTAAGAGCAAGAGTTAAAAAGCAATATGGAACCTTGGTACAGGAAGAGCAGGCACCTTCAGATATATCTAGTGTGTGTGTGCTGTTTCTTATAACTAGAGGAAGTTGGCAACACTAGCTTCAAAATTGGCTCAATATTTACCTGTATGCACACATATTCAACATTTCTGAGTAGGCATGTATATAATTACGTATTACATATATAGCCAATAATGAGAATGATCTCATTAAAGTCACAAGGAAAAGCAGGACTTGGAGATAGAATAGTTGAGAGTCCCATTTCAATTGTTCATCCTGTTGTCATTATGTAGCCTATTGAAATGGGTGTTTTTTGTTTCCCTTTCTGTTTTTGCTGACAGGTGAAGGTCATGGTGCGCATTTGTTCTACCTTGGCCAGAGACTCCTCTGAATCCAGCTCTTTCCTGAAAGTTGATCCTCGTAAGAAGCAGATTACTATATATGACCCATTGTCCTGTGGAGGCCAGAATGCTTTCCAAAAGAGAAGCAGCCAAGTACCACCCAAGATGTTTGCATTTGATGCTGTTTTCCCTCAAGATGCCTCTCAGGTAGGTTGCACATGATTTGTAGAATTATATTCTTAAGAATTGCACTTTTTTTATTTTATAGTGGTATTGCAGAAAGATATTTTTCTTTCGTAACTTGTACGTAGAATAAATTCAAAGCCTTATTCTAATTCCCTGTCTAGCCTGATTTATCCCAAAATTAAAACATACGTCAATAAAAGATGAAGTGAATAAAATAGATTAATAGTATCACTAAAGTAGTAGCCCACAGCAAACTATTTGGTCAATAAATTCCCTTCTGAATGTAAATTTCAGCCCCTCCAGGCTTCTGCCTGCAACATTTGATTCCTGGCTTAGAGCTTACAAAATTTTCCTCAAGTTCAGGTTCACTAACAGCAGCACAGAATTCCCCCTGTCCTTATTCCTCACTATTCATGAAATTATTGTCCTGTTCTGGGAGGCAAGGTAAGGCTTTTTGCATAAGCTGCCAGACAGTCAGATACATTTGTCTGTTTTCTCTTCTGTATTCGGCTATGAAGGCAAGGTCAGGTAACACACGAAACACAAGCCAGAGATTCAGAGACAGGGAATGCTGCCTCTGTGCAGGTCACAGGTCGGTTGACAACAACAAACTCCTAGGGCTCTGGCTGTTAGAGTTATAGTCTGGCAATGTCTCACTACTGTGTCCTGATTGCCAAGCATGTCTGATAAAGACATTGAGATGTTTGAACCCCCTCCCCTTTCTTGCCCGTGTTCCACCAAGGGACCTCTGTGTCTTTGTCCTGTGGCTGATGAAAGTAGCTACTTTCTGGCTCTGCAACTGGTACTTCTAGCTCATCGCTTGGTGGATGCTGGGAACTGCAACCCTCAAGCCCAGGAGTTGGCACTTCCTCCTGGCCTTCCTCTTCAGTGTCTGAGCAGGGCATGACTCATTCTGCTTATACATCTCAATCAGCATGCAAATATTGCTCTAGATTACTAGATTTCTTCTTGTTTTCATTCCAAGGGGTACATATCTAGACATACTGTTCCCGAAACACACATTGAGATAGTTTACTTTTGGCTAAGGAAAGGTACCTGGCCCAAGGTTGCCCAATGAGCTATATGCTTAACTACAGATTTGAAGTATGATCTTCCAGAACCTAGTCCAACATCCAATCATAACATGATGACTGGCAATGGGAATGGGAAATAGAGTGTTGCTACTGAAAGAATTGGTTTCCTTATTGTTGAGGAAGGCAGGACAGGGCACTCACTGCTTGAGGCCACCTTAGTATTTGCCTTTTTAAGCAGGATATTGATAATATTATGGCCCTTTTCTCTGATAGTCTTCATTTTTCATCATAAATAAATAATTTTCCCTTTATGACAGGCTGAGGTATGTGCAGGAACAGTAGCCGAAGTGATCCAGTCTGTGGTGAATGGTGCAGATGGATGTGTGTTTTGCTTTGGGCATGCCAAATTAGGTTAGTATGTTTCACTTTCATACTTTACTGTACAAGAAATATGCCTTCTTGTATGATCTGCTATATTAGGTGATGGGGAGCTGTTTTGGGTTGGTACTGGCATGAGGTGGATCTGCTTTCCATGGGAAATATCAGATTGGGGATGTAGCTTCCATTCATGAAGTGAAACTACATCTTGGTCTTTTCTCTCTGATTGACTTGTTATGCACTTCCACATCTACTCCAGAAGGCCTCCCTCTTCTAGGGCAACAATCATTGGTAGACATCTAACATTTTCAACAACCCCATAAGTGCACTAATAAAGACTCTATATTTTAAATACATTACTCCGTGTTCTTTCAGTGTCAATAGACTGTAACAAATTTAGCTAAAAAATAAATATTGTCTCTATTTGACTTGGTACTATGTCTGTTGTTTGGGTGAAATATTGTCGATATGCCGATTAATATTTCACAACATAAACTAGTTAATATTTTACAGCTGTAATGTTTTATAGTTCAAAATGGTTTTTATGACACCCCCTTTCGCAAATTGAAGCATGAGATACAGACATGCAATAAAGTAGTCAACAGAAGTCTCAACTACAGACATACCTCAGTTAATAATGTACATGTATTCCAGTGTATTTTTGTTAACAGAAAATTTGGTATGAGTAGAAATAGCATAGAAAGAGTAGGGTTAAGTTCCTCTTCCACAAAAAAATAGCAGTTCAATATGTTTCAATAAAAATTTCAATCAAAACCCAAACAAGAGATATTTACATGTAAAATTAAACAACCAGATCAGGTTAGTCTTCTGTATATTTTAAACATTTATTTTGAACCTTTTAGACTAGAGACCATTTGAAAGGTTCTTCCAAAATGCATCCAGATGTTTTTTTTTTTCATTCACCTTCCTCCACTTTTCTTACAATTTTCATTTTGGTGGCCAAATGTATATGCTGGAATGTATATGTTTTTTCCCTTCCCTTTCTCCTTTATGCATACTGTTTTAAGAAATTCTGGAGTAGCTTTTGTTTACCTTACTGTACATACAGCTATAAGATATTGCAGAGTAGGGCTTGTCCTAATAGTGCAATGTATTTGAAAATACTTGTGTGTTTATATGGCTTTTCCATTTATGTTTTCTGTTTGCTGTTATGTCAGTATCTTCTTTCCACTCAAATTTGAACAGGAAAGTCCTACACTATGATTGGAAAAGATGATTCCATGCAGACTCTTGGCATAATCCCTTGTGCCATCTCCTGGCTTTTCAAGCTGATTAATGAACGGAAAGAGAAGACCGGAGCCCGTTTCTCAGTCCGAATTTCAGCAGTTGAAGTGTGGGGTAGAGAAGAAAATCTGAGAGACTTGCTCTCAGAAGTGGCAACAGGCAGCCTACAAGATGGCCAGTCTCCAGGTGTCTACCTCTGTGAGGATCCAATTTGTGGCATGCAGGTGAATACAAAGGGCCAATGTATACCTACTGATGCCATGTTTTTACAAGGATGTTTTCAAACAGAAAAGCTACCCAGAGCATCAACCTTTCTAATATGGAAGTGTTTACTCTCAGGCACATAAGAAACTTTATGACCTGCAGCTGTGGGGCCATCTGCTCTCTTGGCCCAAATATTTGTGCCTTTGGCACAACTTGATGTTGAGCAGGAACCTCTGTTCACTGTAAAATGTGAAAGGATTCAGATCAAACAAAATTTGTCTCCTTCCTATAATAATTTCTTCAGTGTATAACAGCACACTAAAATATTTACAATATTGCACAAATAACAGGAGGCCAATAATATAGTTGTTTATATCTCCATGAACAACATTATTTATACTAGAAGGCTTAGTAACATTGTAGGAAGTATTAATAGCTACTTATTAATTGCTGCCAAGCTTGTAAGCCCAAATCAAGCCAAGAATAATTCCAGTTTTCTTCAGAGAGGAACACCCAACTGGTTTAAGAAAAGAAAAGAAAAACACTTTCCTGACCAAGTTCAAAAATACACTGATTGCAACAATCTGGGTGACAACCATCCCCAATTGTAGCTAGGTTGATTCATTTACACCTTCTGACTCATTGGGTCAACTCACAGACCTCCCATTTGTACTATTGTCTGACTGCTAGATTCAGGGCTCTTGAAGACAACGGGCCACACAGAATTTGTTCTGGAAATAACAAAATTGTTTCATTGTTTTAGTGAAATTATGCAATCTGTATATATGTAGAGTTTGTTCAACGCTTTGCACAAAATCTGTGTTTTATGGCAAACAATTGTCATCACAGAGTCCTTGATTTCTTGACAGTTATGTGGGAGTTGTACTCACTCCCAGTGAAACATTAGCAAACATTATAGTGCTGTTCAAAGATTCTGTTAGCCTATCTTTGCATTAAAAAACATAAAGGAATTCAGTAGCACTTGTAATACCTAACTGGAAATAAGACATTTGTAACTCAAGCTTTTGTGCATGTAGTTTTAACGAAGTGCATTGTGCCCACAAAACCTTATACCCCAAATTTCTTTTACCTTGTTAGATTTTTTAAAGGTGTTTCTTGTACTTTTAAGTCATTTAAAACATTATAGTGGAGAACTTAAGAATTCTTATACCTGTAGCAGACATTTTTCTGCAACAGTGACAATTTGCTTAGCTTCAGATCTGTTCTGACCTTTGAATAAGAGAATAGACCTTCAATTGGCAAGTGGGGGCACCTCCAAAACAATTGTTTTTGACAAACGTGGAGAATACCGTACTTTGTGTGGGTGATTAAAAGGCACCCAATCACACAACAAAATGAGTAAAAAAGCAAGGATATATTGTTGAAGACTTCCTTGATAGTAATCAAACTGGTAGATGAAAGCTGAAAATAGCAGCAATCTAAGCCAACTTGGCTGGGAATGAGACGCATGGAAGCAAGAACCATCCAGGAGAGTGTGTTTGGCATTATAGCTCTGGGAGGATGAACTTTTCTGCTCTTGTTCTTCCTTCTTCTTGTGGAAGAATCGTAGTATACGAGTACAGGTATTCCGGAAAGAATAGTCCTGAGCATACAGTATTTTGTTTTTGCAAACAGAAAGCTTTTTTTGCCAGCATCAAATCTCTAAAAACATGTGTTATGTGTCTGGGTTGCCTTGCAGCTTCAGAATCAAAGTGAACTGAGAGCCCCAACGGCAGAGAAAGCTGCCTTCTTCCTTGATGCAGCAATTGCCTCCCGTCGAAGCAGTCAGCAAGATTGCCGGGAGGAAGATCACAAGAATTCTCACATGCTCTTCACTCTGCACATCTATCAATACCGAATGGAGAAGAGTGGCAAAGGGGGAAGTAAGTATCTTCCTTTCCTCATCAACTTGTACGATATGTTATTGTTATTTAAATGTATGTGTACCTTTAAACCAACTTGGGGATTAAGATCATCTAGGGAGTCCTTGCATTTGGTATCACCTTCTTCACAGGCGTGACTGATGGGGACGAGAGACAGGGCCTTCTCAGTGGTGGCCCTTCATCTGTGGAATTCCCTCCCCAGTGACATTAGATCTGCCCCCTCCCTCCTGGCCTTCAGAAGGAAAGTGAAAACATGGCTTTGGGATCAAGCCTTTGGAGAATAGTACAGTGCAATAACAGATAGGGAATTTGTGCAATGACTATTGGAACGGCTCCAGACTATGATTATGGATGGCATGGTTTTAATATTGAGTGTAATGTTTTAAAATGTTTAATTTGTATTAATTTAATTTTAATGTTTATTGGAATTGTATGTTGCTTTAAGGCATTGAATAGTTGCCTATATGTAAGCCGCCTTGAGTCCCCTTTGGGGTTGAGAAAGACAGGATATTAATAGGGTAAATAAATAATAAAATTAATTGAACTATAAATTGGGAAAAAAAACATCTCTTTTTCAAAATTACAATCCTCAGACTCCCCTTGCCAGTATGAAAGACAGTGTAGAACTGTAGACAGTTGTGTATCCTAAAATATGGGATGCACATGGATCTTGTGCTTAGGGTAAAGCTAAACAATGTAGTTCAAGATTACCCAGGAAACATTTAGGGATTTGAAGATCTGGACAATTCTAGAAATGTCTGGTTGCCCGATGTTCTTAGGTGCAGTTGAATGGTAGAAGGAGAGACTCATCCTGACATGTTTAGATTGCATCAGCAATTTTTCCAGCAATGAACAAACCTAAGGGCATCACCAAATGTATTCCCAGAACCTCACTCAGCTCATTGACTTCTTCTAATTTTCCTCCATGCTGTACCTGCCCTACTCCCCAAGCTCAATTTTTTTAGTTATGGGCTGCTGGCTATTTTGAAAATTTCAGGAAAGCAATACCAAACTAAAAGCACATTCACATGAACACTTAATGTAATGGTTCTAATAAAATAAGTCTTCTGTCTTACCATCAAGGACTGGCTTTCTCGCTCAGGCAGATAGTGGAAAAGTAAGGTGCTGCTGTTTCCTGTTGTGGGCAGTTTTTCAGTTTGTGATCAAACAATTTTGTCTCATGATGCTTTAAAAATCAGACTGAATTGGTACAGTTACTGGATTGGATCAGGAACAGGGGTCTAAATGATGTCCCTTGTCAACAAACATTTTTGTTACTTTTTTTTGGATAATTTATAATTCAGTTCAGTCCAGAAGATATAAAGAATATCACCACTTATGAAACATGGTACTCGGGGTATAAAAAATGTACATATTTTGTAGTTGGTTCATATATGTGAAGAAGTGTTTGTTGGTGTAGGATCCAGCGGGACAGATCCTTCCTTCATCTATACAATACAAAACTTTATTATGGTCACTGACCAGCACAAGTACCTTCACCTGATTTTCAGGGATCCCCACTTTCTCATGTACCATTCAAAAGGGCTTCCTAAACCCCAGTATATTATTTTCAGGAGTCTGGAAGGATGCTATGGAGCAGAAGTGGCAGAAAATGTCTCTTCTTTCAATCCATTTGCATGCTCCTAAATTTTGATCTAGCCCACCCTGTAGATATATTATAGTTCAAATGTCTTATAAAACACCAATTGTTTGCTTGTCTTTCAGTAATAACCCTCATGGAATTGCCAGACAGAATTCAATTAACTTAGGATTTATTCATTAGCCACCCTTCAGAGGAAAGAAAGTCTATGAATGCCCATGCTAACTTGCTTATTTTAAAGAGATTTGCTTGTTTTAAGAAGATTACCATTACAATAATGTAATTTTCTGTTTTCACACACACCTATCTTTTAATTACATTTAAATACAGATAAATAAAGAAAGCCTATAGTTTTGTCAAGTTTGTCCTGATCAATTATACAACAGCAGCAAAATCAAAATCCCACTGGCTTCAGTTTCATTTATGTTCCCTCTCTTGGTGACCTATTGAGCTCCTAGAGCCAGATGTCAGCTCAACTCTAAAGGGTTTTTTAAAACAATTAATATATTTTGGGAGAAAAGTTACAAAAATGTTGGTATAAAATTCCAAAAACCCTAAATCTTTTAGTATAGAAATAAGAGAAATAGTCTTTCCAGTAGTCATCATATTGGTATCTGCATAAATGCCCCCCACACCCCCCATTCCTGTTTCCTGATATAAAGTTACTGAGTTTAACATTGACCTAGATTTTGGATAACATATAAATAGTCATTTTATTGAATGCAAGGATGAGATGTTTAACACCAGCTAACATGACCGTTGGTCGGAGAGTGTGGGTCAGAACATCTGGCATGACTCTCTTTTATTTGGAACATAGTATCATGCGGACAGAACTAGACTTTATAAAATACAGAGGTGCTCATCTATATCTCTATATTCTCCCTTCCCAGTACTCTAACGTATATATAACACTCTAGAAGTCATTTCATGTCATTGTACAGTGCATTTCCTCACTTGCACAAAGTTGTTCAGTGAGAAAGGCAAACAGTATGATCATCCTTTGTTACATATTAAGTTGCTCTGTATTTATTCAAAGCATTTATGGTGTGTCTCTTGATCACTAGGACCTCCTTGAATATGTTAAAATATTCAAGTTTTTTTTTAATAAAGAAGAGGAACATGAATCGTTCACAGTTTGCCCTTCTTCCCTCATTTTTTTGGGGAATGTAGCTTTTTTTCTGGGTCTTAATTCAGAACACATTCCCAAAATATTTGTCCCAAAATGAAATACTGAAATACAGATATAGAATATGTTCTCTTGACTCTTTTAAAATTATTTTTCTCCAGTTTCGAACAAGTTTGTATAGAACAATTGGCTATTGAATGTTATGCCTTATATGTTGGAAACCACCCTGAGTCCCCTTGGAGAGATAGGGTGGTATACAAATAAAGTTTTATTATTATTATAAGTATTTCAATCAGGAGCCCTCGGTGACACAGTGGGTTAAACTGCTGAGCTGCTGAACTTGCTGACCAAAAGGCCAGTGGTTCAAATCCAGGGAGCGAGGTGAGTTCCCAATGTTAGCCCCAGCTTCTGCCAATTTAGCAGTTTGATGATTTCCAACAAGGCTTCATATTTCAGCCTTTATTTCCCAATGCCGTATCTTTTTTTGTGTCTGAAAATACTCTGTGTCTTTAATCACTTTTTTGACAGTGTCGGGAGGTCGTAGCCGCTTACACCTCATTGACCTTGGAAGCTGTGTTAAACCTCTCAGCAAAAATCGAGAAGGAGGTTCTGGACTCTGTCTTTCATTGTCTGCATTGGGCAATGTCATCCTCGCTCTAGTCAATGGTAGCAAGCACATTCCATACAAGTAAGTTTCTTTGTCTCTCATTCTCAGTGTGTGTGTTTATATACTCAAAGCTAGATGTTGATGACAAATAACCCTTTCACACAGCAAAATCATAACAATCTTAACTGACACTTGGTAGTTTCTGCTAATCTTTGCCTGGTGTTCTTTACTGGAAAAGCCATGAAAAGGAAGCAAAACAGAAATTCAGTTGCACATGATTTGGCAATGAAGGGAGAAACTGGGGCAAGATTTGTAAGTATTCATATAAGAAAAGCAAGCACTTTTGTAGGGCAACTTGGAAGTCCCTGAACAGATTCAGATTTATTTAGAAGCGGAGTGGGCAGATCAAAAGATAACTTGGCAAAATGGCACTACCTAAAAGAATCCTCCACCTTGTGTGACTGTGGAGCAGAACAAACAACTCAGCATCGGTATCCTTCCCCACAATTCCCTGCCTCATGCACAGAGGAAGACTTATTTAAGGCTACAGACAATGCCGTCTCTGTTGCCCTTTTTTTGGGTCAAAAATTATGTAGCTGCTTGTGCTGCCTCTATTTTATCAGTTTTATACTAACTTATGGAATGTTTTTGACACAATTTTTTTTAAAAAAATAAAAGCCTGGAAAGCCCCTGCCACTGAATGTTGTGGTTACTATTATTGTTGGTTATTTATTACTTACATTAATTTCTGTATCTTTTGATTGTTGTAAGCCGCTCTGAGTACCTTTGGGAAGATAGGGCAGGGTACAAATAATAATAATAATAATAATAATAATAATAATAATAATAATTATTATTATTATTATTATTATTATTATTATTATTATACTGAGCTAAATGTATCTTGACTCTATAAGGGAGCTTCTTTATACTCTGTTGCCCTAAAATGAGCCCTCATCACTTGATTTTGCAGTGTGTGAATAACAATTTGAAGGATCCCATGTTAGTGAGTTGAAGGATTCTGTGTTAACAAAACAGTAACTCTGCTCTGAGATTTTGTCTAAACTTTAAAGGGGCTGTTCAGGATCTGCTGAACCTATCTTTGGGACAAGGATAATCACTTTGGATAAATTATTTGATGTTTGAACAGAAGCTCAGATTAAATTTACTTCCTGAGTGACATAAAATAATAATATTACAAGATAATTGTATCGTACAATATAGTGATGTATAGTGCTGATATTGTACTGTGCTAATGGTATAATATATTGTGTGTGCGTTTGTGTATTTGTATCTTGTAAGCTGCTCTGAGTCCCCTTTGGGGTGAGAAGGGCGGCATATAAATGTTGCAAATAAATAAATAAAAGCTACATGTCACTGCAGCTACTAATGAAATAGAAATATAGTATGATTACCTCCCCACTCTTGAATAATCTCATGTCTCTAGCTGAGAATTTTAATTGGATTATCTGCTTTTCATTTTCTATTAAAATTAGCTCCAATGATTGATGAGTTAAATCTAGATTATATGATGAATCATAATTTTTCTCAGCTAAGTCCTGGTTTGAAATGCTTCTCAACTAGGTTCTTTATAATAATGTACCTCTTTTATGTATATATACAGTACTTCATTCTGATTGTGTGACTCTGAAAAGAAGACAGTGAAGAAGTACTGGGGGAAAATGCCACCAGGCTTAGCCTACAAAGTATTGGTTTTAGTTAATTTCAACAGCTGTTTTTCTTGGCAGTATGCAGGCAAAAGAAAAGTAGCCCTGCAAACATCTTTCATTCATGTACTGGGCAATCTCTTGCTGCCGTGATTCACAGCTGTTCCTTCACACTCTTCTGAGTTTCTGAGCATACAGGTGCCAAAACACTTGTACTTGTTTGCATCTATCTTATGGAAAGAAGCACAAAGCTTTCTCTCGGTGAAGCTATTTGCAGAATCCGTTTGTAAAAAATGTACTTGGTTTGATCAGACATTTTTCCAGATATCAAATAGAAATAGTTCTGAAAATATGATTTGTTGAAGAACACACAGAGCTTGAGATACAGCGCTGTTTGGAGTGGGAGGTGGTATTGAAACACCTTTCAAAGAACAAATCAGATTAAGGATTGTTGTAGGTTTTTCGGGCTGTATGGCCATGTTCCAGAAGTGTTTTGTCCTGACGTTTCACCTGCATCTGTGAGGTTGTGAGGTCACAAACTTTGAGGATGCCTGCCACAGATGCAGGCGAAATGTCAGGAGAGAATACTTCTACAACATGGCCATACAGCCCGAAAAACCTACAACAACCCAGTGATTCTGGCCATGAAAGCCTTTGACAGTGCAATTCAGATTATGATAGTGTGTGTACTGGGTTGTGTCCCATTGAGTTCATACTATAGTATTCAAAATAAGGAAGGGCATGATTCAGATATCTCAGTGGAGGAATCCGTTTATTTTTAAAAAGAAATAGCACATCAACTTCAAGTATGACCAGATTTTGACTTCTTGCACAAGCAAAGCAGCTAAGGCATAAGACAAGGAATTAAACTTCACTTTCTACAACCCTGAACCCCATCAGGAAACCATTGGGCATTTTTTAAGAGACAGGCCAGATTTATTCACTTATTGAATGTATTCTCCATGGCCCTCTGCTAGTGTGTGCCCACTGACCAGGCTGGCCCTAAATGACTCAGTCCTAAAGAGCCCTTACAAGAGGGCTCTAGACCTTGGCATCTGACCAATGCCTCCACCATTCAGCCCAGCGGTTCAGAACACGCCAATCTCTGCTACCATCCACCGCATCATCCCTGGTGCCTTTTCCTCTTTCTTCCTCCTGCTCATCCAATTTTTACCATTCTTCTTCACTGCCACCGCTTAACTCCTTCACTTTGAGTACATATAGGTTTATCCCGGTCGTATTCAAAGATTCACGTCAAGTGAAATTAGAGATTTGCACTGTGCATTCGGTGTCTAGTCTCAACCAATCCTTTATACATGCAGAGCTCCTGAGTGAGGAGTGATTTTCTTCAGCTAAAGGGCCTACTTAAAATGATTGATCCACTGAGTGTCCAAATCTAAATATATCAAAAAGCCCAGCCTATTAAGAATAGAGATTTAAAGAATATTTGCAAAATGACTTCTGTATAGCAAGGATATTTGAACACAATGTAGGAGCCGCGGTGGCACACTGGATTAAACCCTTGTGCCAGCTGAACTGCTGACCTGAAGGTTGGCTGTTTGAATCTGCGAGATGGGGTGAGCTCCCATCTGTCAGCCCCAGCTTCCCATGCGAGAATATGAGATAAGCCTCATACAGGATGGTAACACATCCAGGCCTCCCCTGGGCAATAGCTCTGGAGACGGCTAATTCTCTCACACCAGAAGCGACTTGCAGTTTCTCAAGTCACTTCTGACACAATAAAAAAACTGAATACAACAGATCCCAACACATATATAGCCTTAGAGATCAACTGCTTTTTTTTCTATTTCAGGACTGCGTAGTGAACTTTATAAACATTTTTAACAAAATGTATGAGGTGTACAAGTGAATTATTTGCAAAAGCCCACTATGGTACCAAAAATAGTGCAACATCTTCAAGAGATCCCAACCTATTAAGGAATGGTGGCAACTTTTGAAATTTATCATCCTTATGTACAAGGAAATATAGGAACATAGGGACATAAGGAAATATTTAATGAAAAAAGCAAGGCTCTGTTTTGACAGGACTTTAAAAAAGCTATTATGTCATTTCTATATCAATTCTGTTCCTTCCACCAATATCTGAAATGAAAAATAACTGAAAAATACTAAATAATATATCTCATTATTTTTATAGGATAGCAATGAGTAATGACAACAAATTATTATTTTTTTAAAATTGTAGTGAGTAAAGAAACCCAACAACCCTGTGAAATCGGTAGTATTTCAGGAGATTCAAACTTGTGCTGGACATGTTTTGAACTGGGAATAGAAAAAGAAGAATGGCAGGAAAGGGGCATTGGTTATTATGAACTGGACTTGGATTCCTGAGTCAGGAAATTCACTTTTCTGTTTCCCAAATGAAATATCTCACCTTCATAACAACTGTTTCATTTACAGAAATGGAGCCCCCCAGGCGCAATGAGTAAAACCTTTATGCCAGCAGGGGAGCGGGGTGAGCTCCCACCTGTTAGCTCCAGCTTCTCATGCAGTGACATGAGAGAAGCCTCCCACAGGATGGTAAAACATCCGGGCGTCCCCTGGACAACGTCCTTGCAGACGTCCAATTCTCCCACACCAGAAGCAACTTGCTGTTTCTCAAGTTGCTCCTGACACTTTTTTATTTTTTACAGAAATTCATGGGGATATTTGCAAGCATAGGAGCTCTGTACAGGAATGGTAGAAACCTTTGCATTACAAAACTTATTTTTAAATAAAAGCTCTATTATTTCTTAAATGACAAAGCATGTTAAAATCCTCATACTCTTTAGGGGAGATAAAGGAATGGCAGTTTCTCAGAACCGTGCTTTAAAAGACTTAGGTAAGGCAATAATAAGATTTTACTAACATGTACAGAAATGGTTGCCATTGCTTTGTTTCTCTAAATGCATTACATTATCTCTGTCTGATTTTTAAGATGAATGTGTCTCTTCATCCCACAAATGAATGCTCATTTGCACAAATTCCAGATACTACCAGTTTATAGAGCTCCGTGTTCAAAAAATAATGCTGGTTGCTAGGCAGCAGTAGTGATAATTCACAGTAATGCTGTTTTGGAAATAATCATTTTATACAGCATAATGACTGCAAGAATGCTAGAAAATTTTAAGTATTTATGCATGCCTCACTAAGTAATATCAGTTCAGTTTATTTTTAGGCATCTGTCTTCCTTCTGGCAATGCGAAATTTTGTTCTACTTTTTGGGGTTCTGGTACTACCTAGTGACCCAGCCCAGTGAATAGTATTTGGAAATTACCAAGAAAGAGTTCCCTATAAAAATGGGTGGTTGCAAGTCTTCTATAGAATCACGTCAAACAAACCAGTTTTGTGCATCTAGAAAAACCAACATGTGTATCAATCAAGCTATGGAAAGTTCTTGTTAAACCTTTGTAT